GGTGACACCCATGTAGCCTTGTGGATATCTTTGTGCTTGTATACACTGCCACCAATCACCAGTTCGTTGAAGGCGCAGAAGTCGGCGAAGAGTTCTCCGTTTTCATTCATTTCTCCTAGAGCTTCTCTACCCATGATGAGTTCCCTTCCCGTATTGTCTGGTCCCAGTTTGGCGTTCATGTCTCCCATTAGTATTTTCATGTCGCCAGCTGGAGTATTGTCCATTGTTGCCTGTAGTTGCCTGTAGAATTCTTCTTTCTTCTCGAGGTCTGCGTTGTTTGTGGGTGCATAACATTGTATGATTGACACTTTCCTTCCTTTGGAGTTGAACCTGGCGGTCATTATCCTGGACGAAATCGCCTCCCATTGTATCAGGGCTTTCGTTGCCGTTGGTGACATCATGATAGCCACGCCCTCGGTGTGCGTGTGGTTATCTTCTGGGTGACCGGAGTAGATCACTGACTCACCTGTTGACAATTTGGTGAGTCCACTCCCATTCCATCTGCTCTCACATATTCCCAGCACTTGTATTCCGTATCTTTTCATCTCGTTGGCGATCTGGGCAGCTTTCCAGTCTCGTACATAGTTCGGACGTTCCATGTTCCTACACAGACTTTTTCTTTTGGTGCAAGGAGGTTCAACATACTGAAGTTTCTTTAGCAATTTTTGTTTACAGGGTGGGGTTGCTAGCCTCACGCCTGAGAAAAGAATGATTACATTAAGTAAAAGTTTAGAGAGAAGCAACTTTTTGGGTTGCTCCCCTCAAAATCAGAAAATAACGGACAAACAATGAGAACAACATCAACAAAGGAAACAGTTCACAGAAAAAAGGGCAAAAAGCGACGACAACTATACAATAAGACAACATGCAATATAGTTCAGTACATTTAACTAAAATGATATCTTAACCATAAACTCACTGACTTGGAGCAACTTGAACATATAAATCCAACAATATATACAATTATAGATGTGTTTATGTTTAAAAATTCCACAAATCCAAACAGTGGGTTATGTGTATTATCTGTCATTGGTGTTGTCATTATTTTGTGCCTATTTGACATGCATGTCGTCATTTATATTATTATTATTATCACTTTATTATTTATTTTATTTTTACATTTTCCTACTGTTATAACTGTATTGAACTGAATAAACCCGTCACCACTTTGTTATGTCTACACCTGCTAATTAATAATAATGGTAATGAAGTCGACTGGCACCTTAAGATGCCTATTCGCCCGTTGTACCTTCCGATTCACTGAGCCACGCAAATATCAAAAGACAAAGGCTGGCCTGTGACTTTAGGATTTTGTATACAGCAGTTTTTTCGGGCGCAGAGACTAACGTGGGACAAGACCCCTAAGCCTGTCCCAACCATTCTGCAATGCGCCCGAAGTCTGCCCCAAAAGTTAGCTGTCATGGGTTGAGGAAGTACACATGGGTTACTCCCATTGGTTGATTTCTAGCTAATGACCGTTCATGCAAGTGCCCCTATCATTCTGCAATGGTCCCTAAGACTTCCCTAAAAGCTCTGCATTGCGCCCAAAATCGTTGCTAGCTGGTCTACTGGGTCCTATCACCTACATACTTCCTGATTAATTTATCAGGGCAATTATTAAACTTCAGAGCTTCTCTTGTATGCCTTACTGCCTGTCTTAAATGTTCCTTGGTATTACTTAATTCTGTGCTCTATCACTTAAACATTTCACCAATCCTATTTTTACTGGCATATAATGAGATTGTCGGAAATCCAAATATCGGTTTGAATGTGTGTGTTTCCTGTAAACACTAGTGTGTTTAACTCCTCATCTTTTTTCCTTCTTACTCTACAATCTAACATTGGAAGGTCTCCTTCCTAACTTTCCAATTCATCAGTGAACTGAATTGCCTCCACCTTTGATATGATGTGTTCGAAAAATCTGTTCATATCCTGTTTTCTACGTACAGTGAATGCGTTATCTACATACCTCCATCATACTTTTGGGATGGGGCTGAACGTTTCAGTCGTTAAGTGTTGCACCTATTCATGAATATATCTGCAACAATCGAGGATATTGGTGACCCGTATGGCGACTCCCTCAGTTTGTTTGTAAATTCTCCATTGGAATTTAAACACTGTGGAAGTCAGGCATAGCTAAAAAACAAACTAATATGGAATTACATATTAACACAGTGGCCAAGTTTTACACATATATTAACAATTTATCTAAGACGTTTAGCTCATACGGGTAATGAAAGTTTTAAGTCTTATCAAATGTATAAGCGTTTAGAAATACACATTATAATTTTTCAAAACCCTTGTAAATGAACAGTAAACATTCTTTTTGATAACTTCTTCAGATTCTAGAGCTATATCTCAGTATATCTGTAGGGATATTTCTTATTGGTAGCAATAGTATTTTTAAATAACACTGAAGCATAAATTCGAGGGGTGTATGAGAGTAAATAGTTTCTGGATTGTAGTTCAAAACACCTGTGCGTGCTAATGTGTGTAAACAAATAGACTAACAAATGTGTTGGTTGTGTGAGTCATATGATTCAGACAGTTGTTTGATTCACTGAAGCATGAGTCATCTGAAAGGAGGATAACGTAAGTTGACTAAGTGCAGAAAATAACCCAAAATTTCTCCCCCGGTCATTAGATTAATCTCTAATATTATCAAATATACTGTGCATACGAAGATCATCAAATAAAAATGTGATTGTAGGACAACTTTGCATTCCTATGCGAACTGTATATCGGTAATGAGATCAATAAATTGCATGAATAGCTTGTGTGGAAAATGTCACATTAGTCACAACTGTTGTTTGCATACAAAGTGCATCTTTCACACTGAATGACATTATATCACCATGAATTACCAGGATGTTCAAGTGAAACAGAAAAAGTGGAGTACAATTACTTATTATCCACATAGGTAGCATGTTTCTAAGATCACTGAGTAAAAATGATATCAAGTTGTAACTAGTATTAAGATTTTTTCTGCTTTTTATTTATTGAGTTTAACGCAAATCTGGTACCACGAGAGGTGACACACGAGATCGAATGAGAAAGTCAAGAAAAGAGTCGAAATGGTTAGAGAATAATGCAATGAAGTAGGTAAGCCTACTGTGTAAGCAGCAGTCACTACTTGATATCACTTTCAGTAGCAGAGGAAACAAACGAGCTACGTCACGTTCACTGTTGTATTAATTTCTGAGGTATATTTGACCTTGTCGCGAGCAACCTAGCTATAAGACCGCTGATCGCTACCCAGGGAATTGTAACGAAACCAAAGGTGCTAAGGAAAGCTCATTCGACACTGTGACGTCATAACATAGCAGGAAACTAGGCATCTAGTAAAGCTCATTTCTTACTTCGTTTTAAATGTAGTCAATAGTTGCTTAACGGGAGATTATAGAAATGTGCACGTGATTATTGTGACCTTTCTTTGTTAACATCAACTCAGAATACGAGTGTTCTTTCTAATCATAGCTTAATATTATCCCTCCTACAGTATGTCATTGGAGCTAGCCAACTATTAGATACATAATGGATACATAATGTTGAACTCGTTGAGTTAAGTAAATAATCACATATAGGATTTATATGGATATCTTAAGAACACAACACACATACTATGTGTGTGGTCTGATACTTTTGGTTAGTATAGTCTGTTGTCTGATTTGGTATTGGGCTCAGACATGGAAACCTCCAGCATGAAGTTGGCAGAGTGGTTTTGTAATACTAAGTTTTAGGAAGTATTCATCACGAATTTGTCATCTGGAATAACTGACAAGCAACAAATATTAATAAAGCAGGACTTAACGAATTCATCAAATTTCGGTAAAAGTCTTTAGCTGAAAACTCTGCCTACAGTCATATCATAGAATGAATACGCTTATGTTATTATGAATGATTTTAAATTATTTCATCATCCTGACGATCTCAGTTATTTCATTCTAAGAAGTCTTGATAAGTCGATGTGAGTAGGTGTTTAGTGGTTTGGCATAACAGATTGGTACAACGAAAATCAATTTCCCAGCTACTTGATACTCGTCGATGTCACGTAACCACGATTTCCTTCAAAGTATCCCTTCCTGAGAGAACTAAGCCCTTATAACACAATACTGATGTCAGAGACGTTACCACTGTTTACTAGGAATTTGTTCAATACATTCATTAACGACTACTGATTATGTCTTACTGATGAACATCAAATCTAGCCGCAGCATATTTCTGCTAGTTGCATCCAGATGCCTGAAACGCAAATAAAGTGCACTTCAGTCATCAATCTGGGGGACATATAGCGAACTTGGTCCATGATATTTGCTTAACCTTTAAGTTAACGACTAGGTAAGTATCCAGTTATTCACCCATAATATTTTACTTTAATTGTGTGGAATATGTAAACCAAAAGTTTGGCCATTTCTTTAAAATTAAATGTGATGCGATGCACAACCAAAATCAGCGAGTTGTTTTGTTTCTAGAAGCAATTCCTTGTCAAAGATTTCTCGCATGTATGTTAGTTAGCTGCTTTGAAATACTGAAATACTAATCAGGTATTTAAAAAATGCATGGATCATACAAAGTTAATAACTGATACATACACTTTCAGTTGAAGTTCTCAAGTGTTGATTTTATGAGTATTTGATTAATTTGGACTTAGATTTTTTCCCTGACAGACATCAGTTAGAAATCTGTAGAAAATTAAGGAGTCTTGGACAACTGTTTCGTGCTATCTTTTTGTAAGTGAGCGCTCATAACCAACTCATAAAGCGAAAGTGGAACTTTCAGTTTATGAGGCTAGCATGTTGACACATTTTAAAGTTAGAAATACTCACTTTAGAAGTCATCTATCAAATTATTTACTAGTTTTGGATCTCCGAATGGGATGATTCAAACTTCTGCTGTGATCGGTAGCTAATGATTCTTATATTAAAGATGTTTATATTGTTTACAACGATGCCGACAACCGTTACGAATGTTCATTTCAGCTGAAGAATTAAAGAAGTCTTCCTAGCTCCGATTATTTTATTGATTTTACCAGACTACTTGATAGTAGTATATTAAATTGACTAAAATGTAGAATGGTAGTACAAAGAAAACAAAATGTTTTTCAGCCACCATACTTCTTTTCTAAACGACTGATCATTTACTTGAATATAAAAGTCCACTGTTTAATATAAAAACGTATTCTTTGCTTACATTCTCATTTGGTTCCATGCAATTAAAATTTATACAGTTCATTTTATGCCATTTATTATCAGACATATCAACGGCATATTGTTTTTATGAAAACAGATTTGTATGTTCCGGGAAATTTTAAGTAGGCAATTTATATACGATTTCCTTCATCGTATATACCTAATGAAGGAACTCTTCACTAAGTGCAAACCTCAAGCCCTATGACACATTTTAATGCGTTTTTCTAGCTGAAGATAATGGATAGATTCGCCGACTTGTACGATTGAATTTAGACTTGTCGGTCCGGCAGTTTTTATTCAAACAAACATCGGATAACACATATTCACCATCTGTTTTACTATCAGATTTATCACTGTCGTTTTCACAAGAATTATTGTGTCCATGTAGGTGTATGAATGATAACGATTTATCTGCTGATAACATGTATACCGGCTTACAAATTGGTGGATTAATACCTGGAACTAAGGCCAACTTTTTTACTGTGTTACTATTTCTTGGTTTATAATTATTTTTTTCATGAACACGGTTATTTGACGGGGAGTTCGCCAGTTTATTTGATCGAAGAGCACAGTTGGATTTAAAACGTCTTTGATCCTGAGTATTTATGCGGTTGTTTTGTTTACCGAATGAAGATAATGACAATGATGACGAAGTGTTGTTGCGTGTTGAATACACTAATGGTTGAACTTTACGTCGGTTCACCTTTTTTATTGGTTTGCGTAACTTAGATACACTTTTATTACTACTTTGAGGTCTTCTTGCTGTTTGCGATCCGGAAGATTTTATTGTTTGACAAGATCTATCTTTTTTACTCATACAAAATTCAGCATGTAAAGGAGAATCATCTTTAGGGTCTACCTTATTTTCATTACGTTTATCACCTTCTGTAGGTGAAATGTCATTTTGTTGAGATGTTTTAGTAACACTTGAAATACATTTTCCACATGACAATAAATTTATAGCAGATTTTACCGGATTTATAAAAGTGCATTTTTGACAGTATTCAGGTTTATCTGAGTAGTTTATATTCATGGTTGACAATTTCTGCTTATAGTTTTTATTGCTGTTAACAACATCCTTGTTTGATGAGTGAATCGCCTTTTCTTCAGATGACGATTCGTTTGGTAGAGACATCGAAGAAGAGGTAGGAGAAGAAAAAAATGATGAAGAAGGTGAGGAGTCTACCGAACAGTGATTATGCATTTTACTGTTCGACAAATGTTCTAGGAAGCGTTGCTTTCCAATAGGATTACTGTCATTCTTTGCTGGAGGTGACGAATTCACTTCGTTTATCGATTGAAATCCACTATCAGATGACGATGAACCAGTTTTAAAAGGCCTTAACTTTTGATTATTTAAATTTGGAAGTGGACGTTTCTTTGATTTATCATCTTGACGACCTAAAAATACATCAACAGATTTATTCAGTCGTGTATATTCTGCGAGTAAACTTTCAAGATCACTTTCATTTGAATCACGTATCAATCTCCAAAATTGTGTTGAATTCAATATTTTCATACAGTTTGTAACTTTACCACTTCTAACAAGTTGTTTATTGTTAACTGTTTCATACTGATACACATTAATAAATTCATTTAATAGTCTAGCTAATTCTAGTTTACTTTCACGTTGATTTCTGCCGCCTGATGATTGAACCTGTGAATATAAATTATCAGTTTTTAATGGATTCTGTGAAGATGATAAATTGGCTGAGGCAGTGTGTAAAAATTTTATTAGAAGTTTTATTTCTTCATCATCGTTTTGATATTGATTTGTAGCTGCTGAACACTGGTCAGCTTCAATGACCAACCTATTTTGAATACGTGAAAGATAGGCCGTAAATGCATGTCTCGCTTGTATTGGACTCAATTTACTAGCATTATTTACTACTAATGAATGCTTGTGTTTACGTGAAGTGTTACGTTGCTGACTTTTGATCCTCGTTGGTTTTAGTAACGATTCACTATGTAAGTCTTTCTTATTTTCATTTGTATTAGCTGAGTTTGAAATATGTTCTGGGATAGATACATTGTTATCCTGACAGTTACTTGCAGTGTGTGGTGTATTCGAATCTAATGGAGATTCATATGTGGAATTTACTGATTTACAAATCTGCCATATACCACATATGTTGTTTTTTGAGGCATGATTGTGTAAACATCCTGGAGTTAAGCATACACCAGGGAGAATTTTTGGCTTTCTACCTAATTTACGTAGAAAATATGGCATATGATTCATTACATAACAGTAAAGTAAGGTGACACGCCTGCAGTCTCGCAAAGATGATCCATATTCATCATTTGTTGGAGTGTGAATAAAGTTAGTGATATAATTATGCAGTTGTGATGGTGTCACGTTATGCAATGGTAAGGGTTTTTGATGAATAGCTGATGTTATTATGGTGGGCTTCTGAATAACTTTTATATCATTAGAAAAACTGTGTCTATGAGTTATGCCCCGAGAAAATAAACAATGTAGATTAGTTATACCTGGTGCATAGTTTGGATGAAAATAGGTACACTCTTCAGGTACTTTAAGTGAGCCTATTAAGTCCTTAAGGTTATCTGTTGTATTTTCCCCTGTAGTAAGTTTGTCAGTAGTCTTTAACTGATTTATTAGTACTGATGTAGACCAGCTGACTGATTGAAGGATATATGAAGCATAAGCTGCATTATATGCATCCATTAGTATACTGTTGCCTATATCATTTAAACTTTTATCACTGCTTTGATTGTACTGGTCAACTGAGGTATAAAGTATTTCGTTATAGTGTATTCGATTGCATTCATTGTTATGTTTATTTGACTCATATGGGAATAGGTGAGCATATTGCTCCCAAGCAACTGGATTTGGATACAAGCGTATCCAGCCACCAGCTCTGGCAGATTCCTCACTTAGTCGGCGTAAGATATTCATTTGTGTTTTGTTAATTTCCTTTGGCATCATTCCACTTATTGGTATACCATATAAATTATTAACTCCTCTATCTGACTGGCTGTTGGTGCCATTCTGTCTTTGAGATGGAGTCTTAGTACCTGCATTTGAAAAAGAAAGCAGTTGCAATGAATTCACATTATTTATGAAATCATTGAAAGCCATAAATAATAGAAAGGATACTGTTCCACTCTAGCTTATGATTTTTATACGGCGTGTCTCCATGACTCAGGGATGCGCCTGTCTCTGAACTGTCGAGTATGGAAGTGATCACTTTGCCAGTAAACCACTGGATTAAAGTTCAGTGACATTCATTTTTTCAGGTTCCACTCACCAACGATAAAATGCAGCCACCTTTTGCTGTTTAAATTAGATAAAACTATATATCAGCCTTAGAAAATAGATAAAGGCTGTATGCTGATTCTCCACTTATTGTCATCTTAGTGCTTTCCTTACCCTTCTTTACCACAAATCGTTTCTATCAGTTTATATACATTCTTTACTCTATTATTTGCTGTCTTTGAGAAGCCAAACACCAAGACAAAATGTGTCAGCAGTATTTAACAGTAAGCACAGAAATGAAGTCTGGATAGTGAGTGATAGAACAGAAGATGATAGTTAAAACTGCACAACACATGTTTCGTCAAAAACATTTTCGGCCAATACAATTAACAGAAAGCTGCATTTAATAATTAAGAACCTCAAAGTCTTATTTTCTTTCTTTCAAATTCTCTCAGTTTGCCTGCTTACATTACCCTACCAGCATACATTTATGGATGATCGTCTAGTTCAAGTAAAGTATGATTATGTTAAGCCGAAATAGTCACTGTTGGTGTTTGTGGGTCAAGTAATGTGGGCGGCAAAAGTAATTTGCTGGAAATCTACAATACTTTTTACCGAATCATGCTAAATGAATCATTTCAGTCATCTTGTTTGCTTATTATTCATCATTTAGGTTACTTTTCATGTACTTTCCTGTTTTGGCTGGAAATATCTCTTTGGGCTCAGACTTCTTTTAAATTGGGGAGTTCAACATCTTGAATGATGTCATTACAAAACATATCCATGGGAGTTACTGAATTTTCAGACTAGCATGCTTACTAGATCTAAAATAATTGTCCTTTTAGACATATGTACAGCAAAATATCTGTGTTTGTAATAAAATATTGTGTTAGATAAGTTCTATGGAAGTAAGCATGCAGTCTGAACAGACAATTCAAGTTTCTGCGAAAAATGGTTAAAATATTCCTCAAAACTAATTAATTTCTAAATATAAATGATTTCCACACGTTTTCAAACATAGGTGTATGCTCTGTGTGTTTTTTTTTCAGATTGCATACATTCTGAGTGCATAACATGTCAAATGATGCACTATTTCTTCATTTTATGTAGGAGTCCCAATCCACTGCCATGAAAGCGCTTTAATACTTGAGATAAATAATTTAACTTTTCTTAAGTTCACAATCAGAGATGTATAGAAATGTGAAAGATGAAAACTGTACAACTTTGTTAATTCTGAAATTTTAGTTCTTTGGAAATTTAAGTCTTCAAAACGCTGTACAAACAATACAATACCATAAATGCAGGCTACAGTAAGTAACATCTGGTCACTTCATTTCTAACAAAGAAGGAGAATTACGTAAACAATTTCTTTGATCTTGGTTATTACCAGCCTTTTCAGAGAGTTGACTGGTTTCGTATTGCCTTTCGTGATTGAAATGAGCTCTGGATAGGCTTGGATGGTGTATAGATAGGACAGAAATGTCGATCATTAAATGGACCAATTCGGCCTGAATCACCAGCACAATTGAATGGCGCTATTTCAGTGATAAAGACGGGTTTATCTCTTTTAGAACAGAATATATCGTTAGTAAAACTAGTAATAATGATTATGATAATAATAATTAGAAAGACTACTAGGGTAACTGTACTTGCTTGCATTTCGAAAACATTGATCACTAGCAGAAACAAAGTATGCTGATGGATCTGGTGGTACAAACGACGTTCCATTGGATGTAACATTAGATCCATTACACATTCCACGTGATTTCCGCGATGGATCATGACAGGTTATACCAACAAGATTGAACAAGTCTGTTAACATATGCGATTTAACTTTGAAGTCCAAAGGTGAATCACAAACCAATGAAGGCGATAAATTGACCTACAAATTAAATAATTCAAACCAGCAGACATTAGTAACTGTTTAGCGGTTAAAGCAAATTTACATAAGTTCACATAACTGTGAATTCTATTCCATTCTACTTACGATAAAACAGTTTCTGATAAAATTTTATTTTTCCTTTGCTGGCTATTTCATGTTAACGTTAATGGCCTATCAAGACCATCAAGGAGGAGTTATTGAAAACAACTGTACTTATTGTACCAATTAATCACTTAATAGGGTGGGACAAGGTTAAGGTATTAAAGGGTGATATAGCTAAAAAGAAGAGACAGACAGACAGACAGATAGGTCATGCATTGAATCAACAAAACACGTGTAATAAGAATGAAGTAAAATGGCCCCCTGATATGTAGAGAAGCATAAAGGTGTAGAACTATGTGAAGCATATCATGAATATCCTGACACAATTATGAGCCAAAATAGTACTCAAGACGTCAAACAGTTATTATTGTCGGGTTGCTATGTGTCATACAAGCAAAACTTATTTTTGTAACGCCAGAAATTTCCCAAATAAAGGCTTACGATACTACTTGTTTGCCTGACTTGACTTTAGAGAAAAGGCTTCCAAACCCGACATATCTCCCTTTTCATTATAATAATAATGATATTATTGTTATTCGTTCCTTGGTTTCCGAGTGGAACAAAGGGCTCCAGTAAGTCATATTCGTGCTACCCCCAGCCTTTCTGACCACTATCCTTTCGTATAATTTCCTCCGATCTTCATTATCAAGCAAAATAGGATAGCTGTTGATAGAATTCTGAATCCTTCTGGAAATGCTTTTGTTGATGCGTGTGTCAAGTCGCTGAGCCATGTGGAAGCAGTCAATTGACATTAGTGTTGAAAATTCGGATTTTGTGCTTTGTGACGAGTGCAGAGGAATCTCATGCTTATTAATGGATGTTTGTCTTTCTCTACCTGTCTTACATGTCTTTGAAATCATCATCCACTCCACCTTTGATTGAGATGATACTGACCAAATAAGTGAAAGTGATAACTTGCTCTATATTCACTTCTTCAGGTTGTACCTTTTATCTCATTCTAAAGATTAACAGATAAGTAGTTTCACAGAAGCACTTTGCATGAATCTGTAACACCAGTGACATGTCAATAAAAATTTCAGAAATTAATATGAAAATTAGTAAAGCGAAAGAGAAAACACAAAGCTAGTTTTGATCGAAGGGGTTCAGCATACACTTGTGAATTTTACTATCAATACTAGCACACATAATGAATTTCTGAAAATGTATAAACAAATAACTGTCTTTAGAATTTGTGAATCTTATACAAACACCAAGACGTACGACTATGGTTTCTACGGTCAATGACTTAATAACATAACCAAAGGAATCTGACCAGAAGGATTTTAGTGTACGTATATTTAGACAATAGCAAAAATCGGCAGACTACCCTATTCTGTTTGAGGGGCTGAATGCCTATGTGTTTACCCTCATTTCATGAAACATGAGGTCATCAGTATGCACTGTAGACAAAAGAACACAATGGTGTCTTCTTGGCCTATGTTTTGATACTTCTCTGGCTGTTTTAGTTTTGTACCAACATATTTGAACACTAATTAATAAACTTTAACAGAGGTTTAGGATTACACTGCAATTCAGCACTCTACAAATGATAAGAAACTGCTTTGAATTCGTTTTAAGAAATAAGCCGAAAATACTCTAAAGTAACAACACCTACCTCTAATAACCAGGGTCTAAAATTTTCGTCAATAATTATATCAAAACCATACAATTCAAAGCATCTTGCTTTACTGGCAGGAAACATACGACAAGCTACATTGATTGGTGGCAGAACACAAAGAAATGATTTAATTATCACTTCTTCTATTCTGACCATTAGTCCAGTGACATCAACACCTTCACTGTGAAGATATCTAAAGTAATAGTGTAGTTGGTGGAAAATAGTCCAAATGTTTCATTATATTTGCTAATAATTGATAACAAAATAATACTATTATTATTATTATTATTAAATGCAAATGAAATGTAGAAATAACAATTTGGAGAGTTTGACCACTGAATTCTGTGTTACTGTTAAATACTTAGATACAATTTATGTGTTTAGTTGTGCAATAACCCAAGGATTCACTTCACTAAAGAATATCTGATTGGGATAAGCCAGATGTCTTATATTCTGTTGGTCTATGAAGACTATAATGACACAAAAATAGATATTTATAAAATATGATTTGAATTCTTACTTCATAGCTAATAATCTTACTTGTTTTACTGATCATCAACTGCGTGAAAGGATAAAACATTTTATTCTTGCTACTATACCTAAAATAAGTATAAAAACAACATTCCGAAGTACTCATAGTGGAAAACAGTTTATAATCCTAAACGGCGCCTTATTTATTACCGTATAATCCATACCTGTGGAAGAAAAGGTTTCATTTGTACAAGCAGCCTCTTCACAGTAGCAGAAATAATCACTTATGGATGCATTTTAAAGATTGGGAGATCTAAGAAATTATATGATGAGCTTCAAAAGTGAGATTTCACGCCTTTGATCCCATTACATTCGAAGTACAAATCACTACTTACTTGAAATTGGGACACATCACTAGCTATAGATCTCACTTTTACAGAGTGTGTGGGTGGACGGTAAAGGATAGGAGATACAAATGGTGGTCTTCTTTTATAAACAGTGGATACATTCACGTCTTTCAGAACGATTTTGAGTCATGCTGCAAGCAATCTCCAGAGTTCCGGGGGCCCAACGCAGAAAGTGTACACCTCTCTACATGGTTCACACCAACAGTCAAAGATTTCATCGATTGATTTGACAACCTCTGACTGTCTTCCAACTTAATCCACGGTCACCTAACAGTGCTCGATGAGATAGGCAGTGACTTAGTACGCTTACTACGCCCTGTAGCCATCGATGGAACTTTACAACGTTACTTCTAACCTCACGATTATTCACCGTACCATACCATTAAATACTTCATATGAAACACAAACATTGATCATGTAATACAATCAGCCTTTTCAAGTCTCCAAATTTCAACGATCATATATCACACACATGAAGAGGGGCAGAGCAAACTGGTGAGTAGTACACACCTTCTTTGTTTCATAGACACATATTACATCTATACGAGAGACAATGCAAGTTGACACAAAGTCTTTTGAATTCATGATGAGATATCGTCAGAAATCAGTTCATCAGGACTGATGTAACTTCCGAAATAAGTGAGGCGATCAATACATTCAACTATTTCACTCACTGTGTTCAAACTAGAAGTAGGTGTAGACCAGTTCTGTAGCATCATCCTACTTTTGACAGCGGTGAATTACATGCCAAACATACCAAGATTTCTACTCAAAAAGTTTAGAAGACTCTGGATTTCGTCAGCGTTTTTCTCTAGAAGGATCTCATCTTCCGCGTACTACAAGTTTACGAGACAAAAAAGTCGACTAGAGTCACGCCCATTAGTACACCCTAGGTGAAATTTAACAGAAATGGAGAGAGTCGACATCCCTAACGGAAACTACTGATTATCATTTCAGACGATGACTCAGTATAAGCTTCTACCTGACTAGATAACCTCGATAGATGTGATGTAACTTCTCGACACTCCCTTCACACCTAGGCATTGCTACAGCGTCTCTCAGCAAACAGAGCTAAATGCTGCCTTCAGATCAGGCGATTAGCGGAAACAACCTGGCATGTACTAACCGTTGTTTAAAAGTTATCAAAAGTCCTTGCCACTGCTTCTACAACTGACAGGTTATTGCGATAAGCTTCCTCAGAATTGATACTGATATCAATCTCAGGTGAGCTTTCGGTTATTTCTTCCGTAAATAAGAGCTTAGTCTTTCCGTCAAGTTTAGTGCGTAACGGCTTCTTAGCTGTTTGTTTTCCATATCAGTTCAGTTTAAATACGTATGTCCGTGGTCTAGTGATTGATTACAGTCTACGCAGGTGTTCTAGAGGGGTTAGGAATCCTCTAGCGACCGTCGTCACTGACAACTTATAGCAATGTGATCTAGTCGTGTTCACCATTGATTTGTGATTGGAAGTTGCCAAGCGAGGCAATGTCTTCATTTATGTTTGAAATTAGTAGTGACCAGCAACAAATGATTCTCAGAACAGAATTTAAGAAGGCTATCAGAGTTTTTGATCTGTCGTCAGGCAACCGCATTTGTGCCAACCAAATGCTCTTCTGATTGTCACAGCTTCCTTGCTTGAGCATTGAAGTTAATCGCTAAAATAAATCTTAGACATGGGAGAAGAATAGACGGCTTTCGATAGAAACCAGTGTGTGTGTGGTCAATTGAGGCGTAAGCAGAGATTATGAAAGGGTATTGACGGGTATGGCTATCTTTCTTTCTAACGGATATGTTAAACCAGACAGAATGCATATGACTTTCCAGTTGGACCCAATCAACTAGCGAGGTTTCTGGCTTATCTGTCAGTGCTACACTGACACCAGCAAGCCTGCGAGTACTAATCATACAATCTCTTGACACCCGTCAGGTAAATTTAGTAAGTTAGTCTGGTTGAATTAAGCGAATAATCATACATGGGTCCTGTATGCTTCCCGCCAAGACCCAAAGCGCATCCATGGCTCAAGATGCTGGCACTTTTACTGGTGAGGCAAGTTATCTTGTTTGGCCGAATGTTGAATGTTCTTGTCTGAAGCTGACAATGGAGAACATAACGAAGATGAGGTATATCTGCTTTCTTTGTCATGCAGGGGAGACAACTTACTGATATTATATCCCTCTTCGTCAGCAGTAAGACCCTTCTAGTAATGTAGGACGTCAGGGAAAATTCTGTCTAGCCAGAGCAGCTCGTCGTGTCATTGCGACATGAATGCTTGACCACTACGTCAAGGTAATGACTGTAGGTTACGAACGAAATTAAAGACTAGTGCGAGTTTATTCAAGCATAACAGAAGTGGCCACATGTTTAGAAAGTCTAAAGTAAAATGAAATTCACATGTGACCTCGGCCAATTATCACTCAAGTACATATTTAAAATTTCAAGATAAATACTATGCAAAAATGCTTTTCTGGCTTCCATTAGTCCGTCTGTTTTTACTTACGATGACAGAAGTTAACAAAAACAATGTAAACTTTATAATTAACTGAGGACTTTCGTCCATTGAACTGTTGAGCCACGGGTATTTATTATGAGATTTTGTCATGGAGAAACAAGACAAGTGTAAATCAGTTTTTGTGCTGTCTTTATAGAAAGTGCAGAAATATTTCTCTGGTTCACTGGCTGATCAGGATAAAAAGAAAATAAATACGCAGATGATATGGCAAGACTCAGTTATTTTATTGGAATTAGATTTAAGTAGTCCTAAAAGATGAAAGATGGGCAATCGTGGACGCAGATGAAGAGGACGGTAGAAAATAGAAGAAAGTGGAGATGTATTGCTGAAGCCGTATGTTCCACTCGAAACCGAAGGGAATAATAATAAAATAATAAAAGATAACTAAAAATGAACTATATGATGAATTTCAAAAGTGAATTCACTCGCACTAGTGAAGGTAATTCCAAATAATCCCTTTTGTTATGGATTAAGTAATGGAGATATTTAAAATTAAGAAGAGTTTTAGGTTATCTTCAAAGACCCGTTCTCAAGACCTAGTTTTCTCCTTAAATAGGTTTTAGCCTTAAATACGATGTGATGTATGCACAACTGGACTCAAACATACACTCCGTTAAAGCCTATAGCTAAACATAGTCATCAAGATTGTTCAAAATATGATCTCCGAATTTACATTTAACAGTGAAACTAAGGTAAATTCTGGTAACAGAGATTTTGTTTAAGGTACCGGGTAATTTGTTTTCTAGAAGAAAGTAACCCCTTATATGACACTTCTAAGCTTATCTCATACTAGTTTCTAAAATGGTCTAATTTTTGATCAATGTTCGGATTCTAAAGTAAGATTTAAACTAGAAAACTTAGTCTTCAGGAGAAAAGGCTAAAGACTAGCAGGTCAGTATAAAATATTGAGACTTTGTGTAGTGTTCAGGTGCGACTATCAAAGCCAGAAAAGAGCCATTAATGTAATGACTTGAATCTTCATTCAGCAATTAATATAAAGGAGTAGATGAAAAGAAAACTAATAAAAAGTCCGAACAGAAGAAAACTAAGGAAGTAATGTTCCGGATAAAAATTTATTTTGCAACGGTTAACTGGTGTTCATTTTTTCCAAGTGCTCGTTGTCAGACTCAGACATTGAGAATAGCTATCTATGGTTACCTAAATTACTGTGGATGTGACCCAATTAATAAACATTATATATTCGTATAAGTTTTCTGAAGTTTTAGGTCTTATTGAGTGAGGTAAACTGCAGGGATTGTTGTAGTTTGAGCTACGCAAAACAATTGGTATAACAATCAATATTTATAATAATGGTTTATAATGGTTTTTGATTTGTCATATTGCAATAATAAATCATATAATCATATTAGTATAATAAATCACTTAACCCTGAGTATGTGACAGTTATTTAAGTGGTACTAACCATGTAATTTTGGGAAACTAATTTACCTCAGAAGAGCACCGAGAGACCATTTGTTTCCGAAATCCTCAATATCTGCATCATCATTTTGTACGTACTCAAAGTTTCTTTTATTGACACTGTAGTTCGTGAGATGCATACACTGAGTTTTGAGATGCTTGACCCCATGTTGGTACCGTACTGTGGCAAAGCGTACAAGTCCCTCTTCATATATGTAACATATAAATGGTTGATAAGAGGTCACAGCAACATAAAGGCGTACGTCAAACTTGAAGCCATCAAGCAGAAGGGGGTTCGAAATGTAACGTGAAACAATTACTGGTTCTTCACATGAAACCTCTTCAGGATGTTTAACTAAGTAGATTCCTCTGCCTCTGGAGGACGCTATTGGCTTTACAATAAATGCCCCCTTCTCACCAAGGTAGCTTCTATAAAAATCATCTAGTTCTTCGGGAAGTATAAATGTTGATGGCACAAAATCAAAGCTCTTTAAATCTTTAATACGCTGCATTCTTTTAATATTCTTAGCCAGCCTATCTTTCCTTGTGATTTCATATGATCTTGGAAAGTGGTTAACTTTCTGAAAATCTGTTAAAAACCTCAGAAGATAGGGTTTCAGGTGACAGCCTGTCCAAAGTATATTTAACTCTTCAAACTGACTAAAAGATTCATGAAATCCATGTGAACTCAGTATGCGTCGAAGAAGCTTGCACTCAGTTCTAGCCAACTTAAATGTCATATTGAACATCTTGCCAATGCTTTCGACTTCTTCTTGGCCATCTGTGATAGATAAGGCCGAAAAAATAATTATCGGTAATTTTTTGAAGCCACCACACCACATAATGCCCGCTTCAGAAGCAGGGATTCTGAAAAGAGGAAGACACTGAAAATTTTCAGCCCGTGACTTTAATCTCGTAGTCTTAGAACTTGAGGTCCTCTTACTGATTTCACAGTTCTTCGCAACACTCTGATAATTTGAAGAGGAACAATGTGTTTCATATGACGTTGACACAAATGTTTCTGTCGTGATCGTTGCATCACTATCACTAGAAGAACATACGTCGCTACATGATGAAGTGTAGACTGAAGATGAACTCATGATGTTTCAGAGTTTGAACTTAGCATAGCAACACTAACAATTTTTCAATGTGTTAAAACATATTTCGGTACTGTGCACATTTAGAACTTACCTAGGTAAAACAATGGTCTTAAAAGTCAAAATCCTTTCGGCTAAAACCTAATGTACCCAACATTCACATATTGCCATCGTTTCAATGAACGTGATTTATTCAACTTCGGTTTCTTTCTTTCTTGTGGTGACCTTGTAAATGTATCCTAGAAGGAGAGAAAAGGTTTGAAAGGTCAATCCCTAAATCACTCTTGAACATACGGTAGGCCAAAATTAAGTCTCCTCTCCTCCTTCGGTATGATAATGGGAATAGATTTAAATGCTCCATCTTCATATCATAAGGAAGGTGTGAGATACAACCGACTATTTCTCTCCCTCCCTCTGTGCTCTTTCCAGGATATTCGCCCCCTTTTTCAAGCGTGGACTCACAGCTTGTATGCAGTACTCTAGATGATTCCCTTACTACAGCGAGCCTGGGAAAGGTTACTGAGTCGAGCACTGGCGGTTGATGTGTAGTAAGTTTGTGCACTTATAAAACAGGGGCTGGTTGTTCTGATAGACATGGCGCTTTCACTTCAGTGAATAATCAGTCAAATTTCATGATTGCAAACTACATATAAATTGCAATTGCTTTATAAAATAATGTTGTGAATAGGTTCCAGTCACTTTGAAGCGTTCAACTGGTGCTTAGATATCTTACGAATTTAATGTCTTGATCAAGATGGCATGATGCGGTTAAACGTTGGAATTATATTGCTTTGCATATAGACTTTCTTCCAACAATGTTAATCAACGCTAATTTATGACAGTTTAATCCCAAATAATGGCGCATCAACACAGCAACGTTCGCTCCCCAAATCTGTAAGAGTCGTTTTTAATGATGTAAATGAGATGTATGCAGACTAAATTGCATGAAGGAGACCCGTCAGATGTGGCATAAAATGGTCACAGGTGACAGTGTACTTGCAGTAATAACTTACAACGCCACTAAATGTGTAGAAATACTCTAAAGTAGTAGAAGTGATGAAAACATAGCCACTGCAAGCTGAATGCAACAAATGCTGAAGCAAAGAGAACCTAGCATGTTTAGGACTTTTCCCTACACTCTTTTGTGTTGTTCTTAAATCTTATCAGCTTCTTGAATAGTTAAGAGTTATAGTGCAGCCGCAAAATAATTGGTATCAACCATTAGTATTGACAAATTATATCGATGACAACAACAAACAAATACCCACGCTAGAAATCCGTCTGGTGCAGAATAAATACTGGGGTTTTTAACTATTTCCATAGTATCAATATTGTTACTAGTATGGGATTATATTCCATTATCGAGAAAGAAAGTTTCACTAGGCGGTCAGGGATAAAGTAGCCACTTCAGTGCAGAAATTTGAACTGCATCAGTAAGTACTTCAAGAGAAATGAAGCAATGAATTGATTTTGGAAACCCGAAAACGCCAAGTAACATGCTGCAGGAGTACTGGTGGAATTTCTATTTATGAAAATAAACGTGAAATTCTAGGGTATCAAAGAACTTGACCAAACCAATCTAAGTTTCAGAGATCAGCTAGATAGTCTGTTCAGATTGAAATATCTTTTGGTCAATGTAATCTTCAAAGTACGAGAGTTCAGCGGCGGTGCTGTGGTATTATTAAATATCTGTATAATCTATTCCTATCACTCTTGATAAATGCACACTTGAATGGCTGTGGGAGACACATCCTTCCTTTGGAAGTTAGGGTAGTACTAAGACAGGCCTGGTCACCTGTTTAAGCAGGTCAGACTGAGGAGTCGGTGGGTAATGCTGTCACAGTCCAGGTCTAACAGTATAGGTGGTCACACAACTGTGAGTTTTATTTCTAATTCAAGCTTATCGGAAACTAGCTCACAGTTGCTCAAACAGCCAGACTAAATCAAACATGATTGACAGATGTAAAATATTATTTAATTCATACGTAAGACGACTTGTTCTACTAAGGGAGAAAACTGTTCCTGGTAAATGTCAGCTTAGAACCTATTTTTAAAAAATAGTTCTCCTACAGTAATCACCATCTCACCGTCCCGCGTGAGTATGTCATTTCTGCCCATCATAAGCCCGTAGAAATATACCTTGGCTCAATTTACTGAACGTTTTTAATTGCCAATAAAGCACATTGTTGTCAGGATATGTTGAAAGCCGAGGATGAATGTTTAGATTGAAATACCCCGTTTGGACTTTCGGAGGCACTATGATCTTGCTGCGCGTATGGAGAACCCAGTCTAAAAAGTAACTCAGTGATGAAAATTTGGAATATTTATGTTTTATTTAGAGGATCGCGGCAGTGGCACAGCAGTAGAATGCTCTCCGACGACGTATGTGGTCCGGGGTTTGATTCCCGGCAGACGCACTTCTTTACCTCATTTGCCTCGCTAAGCCAGTAATAAGACTAGTAAAGAGTAATGATGAAGCATGGGGCTAGCAACTCTATGCTGTAAAAATAAACACCACTGTTATCGAAACGTCAAGCGTCTAGCTTGAAGCCTTATGTTTCCCTGGGAACGTAAAAGAACAGGAGATTTTCGAGCAGGAAATATCTTCAAAGTCTGTAAGTGAAAATCAGCACAGTTCACAAACATACTTCTGAACGCATTGATGCAGTCTTCTACTGGACAGGTAACATATAGATCACAGTATGAATTGTGATCGCTTGCGGAGACGAAATCAGTCTAAATATGTCAAGTCATTGGAAAGTATTTCAAAATTAACAACACTTTCACCAGTTATTCGACACGAGTCGTAAACAGTTGTTCAGAGGAGTAAAAGTGAAAATTCGATTTCGCAAGTCACTGATCACAGGAAATTAAACGCTGACACAACGTCGTGTTAACTGGTGCAAATACCTAACTGTGTAATTTCAGTCCATTAAGAGGTGAAAGTTAAAGCCGGATTTGGGATGTTGATGAGGCTGCAGGCCAACTTTTTATTCACATGTACAGAGCCAGTTCCCGAATTCGTAATTTGCCAACAAAGACAGACGGAAATGACTGTAAGATTTCTACTGGATACTAAGGCTGATTCTGAGTAAGATACTATCAGAGTGATATAGTAGAAGGAAGAGTGTGTATTCAAAATATGCCTTGCACCTTTTCACCCATTATAGCTCGAAAAGTCAACCAACTGATTTCATTTGTAAGATGTTTGGTGGACCTTTAACAATCACCTCAAGTTTCAACTGACCTTAAGTAAGCGGGTATTATAATGTTCTAGGTCACCGATATTTGTTTCAAACTCCACCAAAATGACTGGGATTCGAAGTATGTTGACTTTCTTCTTTTGTGTTCATAATTAATCCCAAAGCTGTTATATTCGTTGCTCTGGCTGGGTCTATCTCATTTACATTCTTATTGTTAGCCTGCGCCTTACCCCAATATAAGTAATGGTTATCTGTTATTATCTAGCCTTTTCTAGTGTTTGGTGGCCGTTATTTATGATGATCTTCTATATTCTCTCTCCAATTCCCTTGTTGGTTGCCAAAAGATATCAGGAAAGCTCTTCGTTGGGGGATATCTGTACATTCCTGACCACCATAATTGTAATGTCAGCGTACGCATTGCCCATTTTGTTCGCTCGAGCACCAAAACACAAACCCCTCGTAAGTTCAATTCCTAACATAAATTTTTCGCAGATATTTTGGGGTGCCTGCGGACTAACGCTATCTGCTAATACTCTCATGTTTGCAACAATATTCTGGCTGGTCTATTTGGTCGTAAAATCAGATGATTTCGACAGTGGTTTCTAAACTATGATAATTTTTTTCCAGCTGTATGACTTTCATTGTAGACCTCTTGTTTCATGCTTTTGCTTGCTGTCTAATGACTCCATTAATTTGAGATAAATGTCCAGTTCTCCATCATTCTTTAAAACGTATATAATCTCCATTTCAATATTCACAGAAACTTGACATAAAAAAGTGATTTTCGCCGGTTGATATTTGTGAGGCATACATGTAATTCTTGATTACTGTACCTCATTTGTATAACCTTCTGTCATTGTTAATTCTGCTTTTAAGTTCTCAAGTATAAATACTAAAATACAGATATCATGAGTGCCAGCTTATTGGCATTCATGGAAGGGCTTCCCATTTTTCTTCAAATTGGTGTAGGTTCAGCTTTTTCGCTTCCCTCCCTAATAATTCATAACAATCAACAGGATAACTGCTGATTAATAGGTACACATTATGTTTTGTGATTTATATAACTCTAGAAAGAATGTGTTGAGTCGAAAATGCTTGTCCAGTAGTAGTTGTTGTACTGGAATACTTATAGTTGATTTGTCGTTTTTAGCTTCTGTCATCCCTTTTCGCCGTATTGACTTTTGTTGATTGAGATTACATTCTGGCAATTTGAAACTTTCTCTGACCTTCGAAGTCACAACACATTGTCATTTTTGTTAGAAGACAAACAGACGTCTAGCTAATTAGGACTGGTGGAATTTGTAGCATGCGCGTTTTATTCAAAACTAACCGTATAGTAAATCAACCTTAAATAGTGTTGAGTGGCGTAGCTAAGATGTGTGACACGACAAAGAGTATATATATATGTAATTTCTTTTCTATGAAACAGGCTACTAAATTGATCCTTTCATCGTAGGAAATTCTAACACTGATAAATGACTTTAGCTTTCTGCCTATAGTCATTCAATTATGCATGCGTCTTGAGTACGTTTGACATCTCAGCAATTCGTTTTCCTAGACGTCGTCCTTGTGCACTTTTTCTGTTTTCTAAGAGGTTCTGCTAACCTTAAATGTTGTCTGTAGGTGTACCGATAGATATAGCTCAGAGCACCATATTACTTCACACTAATTTGTATTGCAGTACTTTGCATTTACTGACTGAAGTGGGCGTTGTTGTGTTACGTGATAGTTGGTATCATATTTTAGCCCGGAAAATTCTTTTATTTTCTCCAACTTCAGTTAACATGGCTATGATATATTCATGAGAATACCAACTTGGTACATTATGGGCACCAAGAGATGCGCCACACACACCATCTGACTGTAATTTTTTTTTAGTGAAAAGGGGTTTAGTAACAACGTGAATACAAAATTAACTGGACGGAATAACTTGTAAATATTATGGAAGCGTTGTCAAATTTAGCGTGAGCGTATTCATTGGGTTGTTTCAAATACTTTCGCAATAAACAGTGTAATATTTCCATAATCAATTCTTTCAGTTTTTTATCTGACCCTATTTTTAAATACAAATGAACATAGTGCAACTTAGCAGTCATGTGTATGCCTTTTTTATTACTGTGTGTAACCCACTGAATTATTCTGTTTTATAATAGTATATCTATTAAACAAAGTAGTATAGAGTTACCAAGTGTCTACAATTCTCCTAGCCATCTGCGTATTTATACACTAGACAAGGCCTTATACATTTTGAGAATTAATTCTAGTAAGTCTAGTTAAGTGCGGCAGTATACGAACTAGACATATAAGCGAACAGTATTGTTTTCAGTTAGATCTTCAGGCATTACTCTAATTTACATAGATTTATATATAAAAATTTTTAACCAATGACGGTGATCTTGTGGATCAAATAATAATAATAATGTAAATGTTTTGAACGAAGTTAATAACGATGATTATAATGATAACAAAATATTTATAATAAGGTTTATACAGGTGATAAGAATAACAAAGATAGTAAATGCATATATGTGTATATGTAGACAATTCAATAAATAAATTAGGTCAAATCAAATGGAACGATAATCAGAGTTTAAATAAATATCATAAGAGTACGAAGGGGATGGATGATAAGAAAGGGTGGGAGGGTTTTGAATAGAATTCACCTAGGCCAAGGGAGAGACAAAGGTAGAACTGAGGACATAGTAGTTGCTGCTACCTTGACGTGGTGGTCGGGCTTGAACACCGCAATGACCTAATCAAGCTATACTGGCTGAGACTTATGTCTCTTGAGGTTCTACCATGCCAGGCAGGTTGTTTGGATAGCGGTTAAACAAAAAGCAGCTACCCATCCAATACCATGATCCAAACAAATTCACAAAATTTCATGCCGGATCGGCCGTGGCCCGGATTAACAACGACCGCGCTTCCTGCTGCCGTGTCACAGGGCAGGAGTGATAAGTATGCTACTGAGGCACACCAAACAGAGAACAAACAAAAACAGGCCGCGTGTGACCGGCCTCAAGCAGTTGTCCCCTGGGCTCTGCGGTCACGCAACCAACTTCCACGGTGTGGGCAGCCGGGAAGTAAAAATCGCCCTCACAATCCGAAATGCACACAAAACCTCTCTAATCCTCACTTATCTTTGTCTTCATCTTCATCTCTATTACCTTGCCTTCCTCCCACTGATGCAACTCCTCTACTTGATGGCTCCTCACTCCCTCTTCACTCTGTGTCCACTAAAAACGACGAAAGCCAAAAAACCACCACGGATAGTCTCCTAAAGCCACGCCACCAATTTCATATAGGAGCATTTAATGTTAGGACACTTTGCCAAATAGGACAACAAGCATCACTAGCTAAGACCCTGGCATCTCGAGCCATTGATGTATGTTGTGTTTCAGAAACACGCATACAAGACCCAAGTGTGGTTATTCACCTAACCCCACCTGGCCAACAGGATGAATCTTCAAAATTCACCTTGAGGGTGTCAGGAGATGCCACAGCTAGTTCACGAGGATTAGCTGGCGTAGGGATAGCTTGAGTACTAGGGCAGAAAAGACATTGCTTGACTGGATCCCAGTAGATAGCCGAATGTGTGCTGTCCGTCTGAACGGATCAGTAAGAAGGAGAAAGGACTGCACTACTCGCCGATGCCTTTTCGTAATCTCCGCCTACGCCCCCACTGACTGCAGTTCGGATGAAACGAAGGATGAGTTCTACCAAAAGCTGTCTAGTTTGGTGAGAAAGGCTAAACGCTCAGATATAGTCGTTCTAGCTGGTGACTTTAACGCTCAAGTAGGGAAATTGTGTCAATCTGAGAAGGATGTCGGTGGCACCTATGGAGTTCCGTGCCAGCGAACCGACAACGGTGACCGTCTCCTACAGTTCTGTTCAGATAATCATTTGTTTCTTGTAAGCACTAACTTTAAACACAAGGAGAGACACTGTTTAACCTGGCGACCCCCATCATCAAACCAACGCTGGACACAAATAGACCACATAGCAATAAGCTATCGTTGGCGTGGGTCGGTAGGAGATTGTCGCTCCTTCTGGAACACGTGTGTAGATACCGATCACGCACTGGTCCGGGCTCGTGTGTGCTTACGACTGAACGGACGTAGGAAACAGCTGGCGGTAAAACCATCACGTCCCCAGCTCGATCAGGAAACTAAATCCCTATTTGAGGAAGAACTAGCTAAACGCATATCTGAATTCGACAGCTGTGCTCACCCTGGAGAAGCCTGGAAGAATATTCAGTCAGCTATAGATACAGCTGTAAAAGCTGTGAATAAGGCAAATCCAAAGGTGAGTAAAAACCACTGGATTTCGACTGCCTCATCCGAACTGATAGATGCTAGAAGACTTATTCCGGCGAGCTCCGAATTCAATGAGGAGCGAAAGCTGCACAAAAGGAAACTTACTAAAAGTCTCCGCAAGGACCGTGAACAGTGGTGGGTGACAAAGGCAAAAGAGATGGAAAAAGCATCGGCGATAGGCAACACTAGGCAACTCTTTAGACTCATCAGAAACTGGTGGGAGAAGGCAATTCATAAGTGAGACTATTTCTGAGAAAAATGGCTCCTTAATTAGCTCTCAGGATAGACGCCTTGAACGCTGGAAAGAACACTTTGAGGAACAATTTAACTTGCCTACAGCCACACTGAACCTCCCCGCCATCCACCACACACCCGAATGGGATATAGACACTGGTCCGCCGTCTGTAGTGAGGTTACAAAAGCTATCAGTAATTTGAAACGAGGCAAAGCGGCAGGACCCGACGGAATTATTCCGGAGGTGTTTAAATATGGGGGTGACATACTAGTTTGTAGATTAACTGAGGTACTAGGCAAAGTCTGGGAATCAGAGACAGTACCATCAGACTGGGGTAAGTCACTTATTATACCGATATTCAAGAAGGGAAACAAGTCCTCGTGTGATAATCATAGGGGGATCAGCCTAACGAACATAGTCTCTAAAATCCTAGGCTCAGTAATCATGCATAGACTAAGCAGAACTCGGGAGGAACAGACAAGGGAAAATCAAGCAGGCTTTAGACCAGGTAGAGGGTGCATAGATCATATCTTCACTCTTCGACAGATTCTAGAACATAGACACACTTTTCGGCGTCCAACAATTGTCATATTTCTTGACTTGAAGGCGGCCTTCGACTCCGTGGATCGAAAGGTACTATGGCAATGTCTGACTGTGAAGGGAGTGCCAAGAAAGTACATTGCACTAATCAAGGCACTCTATTCAAACTCACGTAGTCGTGTAAGGGCTTATGGGGAATTGTCATCTGAATTGGTAACAACCAGTGGTGTCCGACAGGGATGTCCACTTTCCCCATTTCTGTTTAACTTCATCATAGATATGCTGATGGAAGTATCCTTAACTGAACGTAGTGACTTAGGAATCGACTTGTTACCAGGGAATAATCTTATGGACTTAGAATATGCAGATGACATAGTCCTGTTAGGGGAGGATGCTGACAAAATGCAGAGTCTTCTGAACACCTTGAGCAGCAATCTTCGTATGTTTGGCATGCGATTCGCCCCTGCAAAATGTAAGATGCTGCTACAGGACTGGACCACGTCAACCCCTAACTTAGTGATAGGGAGTGAAGTGATAGAACATGTTGACCACTTCACCTATTTGGGAAGTTGTATTAGCACCAACGGACTGATTGGCGATGAAATCTCAGCACGGATCCGAAAAGCTCGAGCTGCTTTCGCTGACTTACACCATCTCTGGCGTAGGCGTGACATCCGGTTATCAACCAAGGGACGTGTGTACTGCTCATCAGTTCGCTCCGTCCTTCTCTATGGCTCTGAAACATGGCCAATACGCGTTGAAGACATGAAAAGGTTGACTGCTTTCGATCATAGATGTCTGCGATCTCTGTCTCACGTTAGGTGGTTTAATAAGGTAAGTAATGTTGACGTTAGGCGTAGAGTGTTGGGCAAAGAGGGAAAATCAATCGACGAGGCTATAAAGTTACATAGACTAAGATGGCTAGGTCACGTGCTGCGCATGCCTAACCACCGCCTCCCCCGACGGGCATTGCTAGCTGATATAGGTTCAGGTTGGAAAAGAGCCAGTGGTGGCCAAACAAAAACATGGCATCAATCCATGAAATCCTTGACAGTTAAACTGAGTCAGGTAGGGAGATGCAGACTCCCGGGTTGGGGCCCTCGGGACTCTAGGAATCAATGGCTGGAGACAATAGGTGACATGGCTCAAAATCGTTGTCAATGGCGCAGATGTATTCAGTCTCTGTAATCTTTCATATTCCTTTCTACCATTACCCATTCTGTTTCACTCTTATACTTGTCAAACTCTATTGATTCTCTTCACTCATCTTCTTGTCTACCTCTGTGTGCTATTTGGAACGTGGCAACTCGAACTGCTGCACTTCGGTGCCAAGTTCTATGTTGAATCCAGACAGACAGACATAGTTGTTGCAAACCGACTCTGTCAACTAACAAGTAGCAATTATGACTATTGTTGGATGAGTAGCGGGTTGTACTGCGAAAGTTATTTATCTGGTTTATATTTTTCAATGGTTATAGCTGTTATTACGGATGATGAATTATTATTGGTGTTTTAACCTCTAAATATTCTGAGTAGGCTCTGATTATTCCACATCTTAATCGTAAAACAGACTTAACAGTGAGTAACTATAATGGTTGTTTAATAAAGATAAATATTTATTATTGATTCTGTAGAACAGTTTGAACAATATTTTTCATTTTTCGTTTAGATGTATTTGACTGACTGGTCTCAACATAGAGCTTTTCACCGATGTGCTGCAGTTCGAGTCGCCACACTTAGCACACAAAGCAAGAGAAGAAAATGAAAGGAAATGCAAAGGAGAGGTAGTAAACAGAGATATGAGGAAAAGATAATAGTAATATCGAAGAACCACATAGTTTTATTGCGTATTATAAGTCACAAGGAGTGGATGCATCTTCGCCAGCCATTGAGAACGATTTTGAGCCATATCATCAATTGTCCCCAGCCTTCATTGGTATTTACTGTCCGGAGGACCTCAACCAGGAGCTCTACACCTAACTATGTGACTAGCTTAAACTAACTGTTGTAGATTTCATTGACTGACGAGGCCATGTTTTCGTTTGACCACCGCTAGCTGACCCTATGTCAGCTAACATTACCCGTCGAGGAAGTTGGTCGATAGCCAGGCATACATAACACATGTCCTAACCATTTCAGCCTCGTCTATTGATTTCCTCTCCTTACCTAGCACTTGACTGATGCCTAACCTCAATATTGCTCACCCTATTGTACCACCTAACGTAACAAGGGAGATAGGACGCAAACACCTATGGTTGAAGACAGGTAGTCGGCCTCTTCATGTCTTGCACTTTCAATGGCCAGATCTCACTCACATCCTTAAAGGAGGTGGATGGAGTGT